GCTTTGTCACGTTTGCACATTATCCCTCGCATTTCCTACCTTGCCCCTTACATCAGCGGCCGATGCTGCCTGTTTAGTGGGGCTGGAGGGCGCAGAGGCATCCAGCCTCGCTGCCTCCTTGCTGGGCTCCTACAGTGATGGCTTCCCAAAGGCCAGGCAAGGCTTGTCCCTGCCACCGGGAACCGGTTTTGGTCCTGCAGAGTGGCTGCCAGAGCCAGAGCCGGCAGCCAGGACGGCTGGGAGGGTGAAGCTGCGGCACTGCAGAAGCTATCGGTGCGCACACCCAGGAGCACATCCCTGACTGTGTCACACTCACAAATCTGTGTTATCCCGTGGATGAGCAGCAGCTGGGGGGTTTCCAGTTGTGCTTTCCCCCTCCCTGAATTCCTGAGAAGGGGCTTTGTGAATGTGCCTGTGGCATCAACTCCCTAGGTGTCTGATCGATGGAGAACCGTGGCAAAAGTACCCTTGCTGGGGAGCAGGGATGTCCCCTGGGTTACCCAGGTACTGGTTTTGGGATGTCCCAGCTGCACAGCAGGCGGTCCTGCCCTGCCCCAGGGGAAGAGGAGAGCACCCAGGACCAGGAGTGGGGGGGCGCAGGAGAACCCCAACCTTGTGTGACCCTCACCTGGGGCCAGACCCAGCATCCCTCCAAACAAGGGGGAGTCTCAGGGCTCTGGCTCCAGGCCAGACATCTGAGGCATGAAGGCAACCTGCTCTTTCCCGGAGCAATGGGGCAGGCAGGAGCAGTGCTGGAGCCATGTCTCAGGGGATGGCTGCCCGTCCCCTGATGACATCCGTCCCTATCAGCCTCTTTCCAACAGGACTGGCCCTGGTCCCCCCATTGCTCCAGCTGAGTCCCCACTGAGGCTGCTTGGGTTCCCCATGGGCAGGAAGGGATCTTTCCTCTCCTTCCTCCATGGAGGAAGAGCCTTATCAGTCACCAGCTCACGAAGCTGCAAGAAGAGGAATGAGGGGACCAGGCAAAAGCCAGGAGGACCCCATTCCCACCCATACCTTCCCCAAGCACATTGAGGAGTGTTCCCTATCTGAGTCGCGGCCATGGGAAAGACCACAGGAATGGGGTTCACCCCCGTCGCACAGCAGCACCCCAGGCCACGCATCCCCACGGGGGGCAGAGCTGGGACACCCCCAAAATGGCGCGACTCCCATTTCAAGCTGCCGGAGAGAAACCAGTATCAGAGGACATGGAAGAGGAGTCGGGCCTGGTGGGGGTGTCTCCAGGACTGGAGCACTCAGCTGGGATGCTGGGTGGTGAGAGGAAGGGCCTGGGTGCTGCCTTTGCTCCCTGCCCACAGGGATGCAGCATCCCGGTACCCTTGGAGGACAGCCTGGGGGCTCCCCCCACTGTGCACCCCACATGGATCCTGGCACCGGGAAACAGCACAGGAAAGGCGCTTGTGTGATTCCTTGAACTCCAGGTTCTCCTTCCCACCCGGTTGCACTTTGAATCAGGAGCTTGGGAGAGAAGCAGGTATCTGGAGGGAGCTTTATAGGGCAAATTGCCACACAGTGGTTTGGGGAGTTCAGCATCCTGCAGCCCAGCAGCGGTGCTCGGCGGCTGGGGGACGCTTTCACCACCATAACCATTGCCCCAGGAGATGCACTGAGCCCAGCTAAAGCCAGCTGCAAACCTTCTCTCCATCGCAGGCACCTTCAACTGCCCACAATGCCCTGGTTATCCGGGCTCGGCACGGCCGAGGCATTTTGGGAGCCACGAAGACAGCCGAGGTGATCTCATCCCATGAGTATTTTCTTGGCTCATTCGTCTTGCTCCAACGCCTCGCCGATAAGGCTCAGCGGTGAGGTCAGTGGGAGGGTTTTGCATTGCGGAGCCGTGTGTCACCCGGGGAGCCTGAGACACTGGCACCTGCGCTCGCCCGCCGCTCCTGTGGATCCAGCTGGAGCCACGAGTCCCTGCCCCACAGCACGGCTCCAGCCGGGCTTTCCACCGCACGCTTCTACCTGGGCAAGACGGTCCATGTGGGCAGCCCCCGTGGTGCTCCTGCCGCTGCCCGCTGCCCACGGGTCCAGCCTGGTGCGGGGCTGCTGGCTGCTATTTCACCTTCTCCAGGGGAAAACAGAAACATTGAGGCTTTTCTTACCTCCAGCATTAGAAAGAAGAAGAGGAAACCCTTCAGATCACTTTCCAAAGGGGTGTTATCAGCCCAGGAGGGGTTTCCTGCTGCCAAAAATAGAGCGGTGTTAAGAGAGGAAGGGAAGTGGGATGACGCAGGCATAGATAAGGCCGGTGGTGGTTGAGCCGGGAGAGGCAGCCCAGCTGCTGGGGGAGCTGGGCTGGCTCCCTCGGGGCTCGGGGTGGGTCGCTCCATCCCCTTGGGAAAGAGCAGGGCAGAGCCACAGCCGCCCCCCCCCCCCCCAGGGATTGCTGGCCGGCGGGCGCCCCCCCCCCCCCCCCCAGAGCGCTGCCGGGCTTGGTATCTCAGTGATGCGTCCGTCCGTGCATCCATCCATCCATCCATCCATCCATCTGTCCATCCAGCCAGTGCTGGGCTTTGGGCTGGTGTTTCCAGGCTCAGCATGTGCTTGGGGACACATGGATGAGAGCCATGCCCTCCTCTCCTCCCCATGAAGGGGTAGACTTTCGCCGGGGTTTTGGGATCTCTCCCACACCCACAGGGCTGATTCCCACCTCCGAAACTCCAGCCAGGCAGATTTGACTTGTCACTGGCAAAACTGGGCTGGAAAACTTGTTTCTTGAGCCCCGTTACTGTCTGATGAGCTCCCAGGCACAAAGTACAGGCTCAGGACCTGTCTGGGTGGGGATGCTGTTAGGCTTTGTTAAGCCTGAATCCAGACCACGCCAGAGCTGCGTTCTTAATCTCTGGGTCTGTAACGCAGCGATCCTCTTCCTCCAAGCACCCACTCCTTCTCCCCGTATACCTTCTCTGCATGCTCCCCTGCCTTTGAGTCTGTTACCTGCTCCACATTGGGGATTTCTTTTTTCCCCCCATTTTTTAGAAGAAAACCCAGAGGAAAAGACCTGTGCCTGCAGCCCCCTGCCTGCTATCACATCCTGTGGCTTTCAGGGCGCTTGGGGTGGCCCAGAGGTGATACCAGGCTGGGATGGGGTGGATTTCACACCAGCAGAAGCAGCAAAGCAATGAGACGAGGCTGGAAACGACTGTGTCCCCCCTCCCCAGACCTGCCTCCTGGGTCTGCACCGGTTGGAAAATGCCGAGTTCCCTCTTGCAAGAATGGGAGCTTAATGTCCCGTAGCTAATTACCAATTTTCCCCTGCACCTGCCTTGCTGCCACCGCCTCCCCTCTGACCATCTGCCGTCCCAGGGCCCCGCAGGCAGCCGTGGCTTTGGGCTCTGCACCGGCAGCCTTGGGCGCTTGGGGCTGAGACAGGGCTTGTGTTTCTCTCCTTTGGGGTTGGGGTTTTCAGCATCCCCCCCTGAAGACAAGCTGGGGCTCTTTGGTGTTGAAAGGGGAAAAGGAATTTGGTCCCTTATGGCTCCCTCCATCCTCTTGTGTCCTCCAGCATGGTGGGTGGCCAAGCCCCACTGTGGTCCTGTGGTCGTGCTGCAAACAGCATCTGCCCGCAAAGGGAAACTGAGGCCAGGAGAGAGGCAGGGGCTCGCCCAAAGGTGCGAGCCCAGCGCCTGACAGGCAAGAGCTGGCAGGGACTGCTGCACTTGCAGTGAGCCGACATCCCCCAGCCCGGGGTATGCGAGGAAGGGGGGCGTGAGGGCAGAGCAGATGGGGCCGGCAGGTTTTTGTGGGGCTGGGTTGGTCCTGCAGACAATGGCGAGTCTCTCCGAGCTGCGATTAAATGGGAAGATTTATGCTGCCGGACAGCTGGTGGGCAGAGCTCGCCGGCCCCCCCATCCCGGCAGCTGCGAGCTCCCCGCACGCATGCGGTGCGCACCGGCCCGCAGCGTGCTCCTGCATCTGCCCCCCAGGCCTCCTTGCATGCCTGTGAGTGCCTGTGGCGCGTGCGTGGCCCCTTGCACACCCTGGGCACACGCTCCTGGGCCCAGGCCGGCCGAGCACCCCGAGCATCCCTGCATGCTCGTGGTGTGCTCCCCGCGCGCTTGCAGGGCTGGGAGCAACATCGTCGAGGCTCACGGTGCGGGTGGGCTCCGGTGGGTGCGGGAAAGGCGAGTTTTGGGGTAATTTTGAGGAGGGTGGGAGTTGGGACTGGGGATGCACATCCCGCTCCCTCCCCTCCCCGGGGGTCTGAAGCCGCCAGCCCGGGCAAGTTGCGGCTGCCCCACGACCCCCGTGTCCGTGTCCGTGTCCGTGTCCGTGCTC